TCCCCACGCGCTGCTTTGGCACGGGGAGGCTGAGCGGTGGGCCTGTCTGTGTAGGGACCAGCCGTGTCCTCACGATGGTGAAAGGAGACATGGATGCAATGGCCACGTGGGCAAAGCCACAGGGTCCTCCTTGCAGGGAAGCAAGGGAACAGCAGCCATGGGCTCAACAGGACCTCCATGGTCTCCACTTCCAACTTCTCTATCCACCCCTGGCCCAGGGCTGCTGAGGGCTCTCCCTGCCTCCTACCTGCTCCCAAACCCTTCTTCTCTGCCCACACACACTTGGCAAATTTAATATTGTCCTCACTGATCTGCCATGGATCCATCTGTCCATCCTTCCACCCACCTTCCATGGGTCTGCTCCTACCATCCATCCATCCATCCATCCATCCATCCATCCATCCATCCATCCATCCATCCATCCACCCACTCTTCTAGCCATCTGTCCATCCTTAGAGAATCATGGAGTATCTCAAGGTAGAAAGGACCCATGAAGATCGTCAAGTCCAACTTCCTGCTCCTTGCAGGACCACCTAACACTAAACCATATAACCAAAAGTGTGGTCCAGGCACTCCTTGAACTCTGACACGTTTGGTCCCATGAGAACTTCCTTGGAGAGCCTGTTCCAGTGACCAACCACCCTCTCAGAGAAGTGCCTTTTCCTAAGGTCCACTCTGAACTTCCTCTGATGCAGCTTCCATCCATCCATCCATCCATCCATCCATCCATCCATCCATCCATCCATCCATCCCTAGGCTCCCACGGGCACATGGGCATCCCATGACTTGGAATCACAGTCTCCCACTGCCCCACCCAGTGTGTGGTCCCATGGCCCTGATGGTGACAAGAGACCACCCCACTCTTACCACTTCCACCACCATCTCCTGGCGCAGGAACCTGCGGAGCGGGGCCTGGAGCTGTGGGGACAAGGAGCTTTGTGAGCAGGGACCCAAGGGTGGGGACCCTCATGGGACTCATCTCTGCCCCTCTGTCCTCTCCCCAGCTCAGAATTGGCACACCAGACCCTTCCCAAACCCCCATGAGCCCACCAAGGCCAAGTGATGACGTAGAAACCAGGACCCAGAGGAGACAACAAATGGCCCAGCCTGGGATGACCCAGAAAGAGCAGAAACGGTTGTGTTCTTGGGGAGAAGGGAAGAGTGACCCCATGGAAGACCCCCCGTACATACGTCCTCCATCCCTTCAATGTGGGACTCGATCTCCTGCACGATCCGGGCGTTCCTCTCCACCTCCTCCGCGCTCTTCATGCCCTTGTTGATCCTCTCGGCCACTTGCTTGATGTTGCGTTGGGCGTCGATGAGGAAAGGGTGGTCAGGGTGGTCCTCTGGCGTGTGCTTCAGCAGGTCCTACCGAGGGGACACAGCTGGGATGTCAAAGCCTGGGCACTGGTAATGCCGTCGTGCCCCCAGGTGAAGCCCTGCTGTGGTGTTGCTCTGGCTGCCAGGGATGGAAACCAGTGCAGGGGAGGTTTTACAAAGGAACAAAGCTTTGAGCTTTGGCCACCACCAGCCTGGTCTTTACCACCTCTAAAGAGGCCACCAGCTTCTGAGAGCACATCATCACCTTGCATGGGTACCTGAAATTCATCCCTGGAAGAATGAAGGCCAGGTTGGATGGGATGTTGAGCAAGCTGACCTAGAGGAAGATGTCCTGCCCATGGCAGGGGCTTGGACTAGGTGACCGTTGAAGGTCTCCTTCAACCCAAACCATTCTATGGCTCTATGAAAACATGTCCCCATCAGTCTCAATGCCAAGCAGAGTGACGTTGGCATGGGGAAACTGAGGCACGGTGGGGGTGGCAGTGCAACTGGTCCTAAAATGGCACTGCAACGTCCAACCTCCTGGCAGAAAAGTAGAGGGGAAGGGGCCTGTGCACCCACAGGAACATGCTGAGTGGGGCCAGCAGGGTGACCTTCACTGGGGTGACGAGTCCCAGGACCTGAGGGCACCAACTTTGTGTCAAGGGATGGGAAAAGGAGCTGGGAGAGACACGAGAGCCCTGAGGAGCTCCCGTTGGGTGGGCACTGGGAGGAGCTCCGGTCTCACCCGCTCCCAGCATGGTACAGATGTCCTCCTGCCCTCACCCACCTGCCTGCACCCACCTGCCCTCACCCACCTGCCCTCACCCTCCTGCCCTCACCCTCCTGCCCTCACCCTCCTGCCCTCACCCTCCTGCCCTCACCCTCCTGCCCTCACCCTCCTGCCCTCACCCTCCTGCCCTCACCCTCCTGCCCTCACCCTCCTGCCCTCACCCTCCTGCCCTCACCCTCCTGCCCTCACCCTCCTGCCCTCACCCTCCTGCCCTCACCCTCCTGCCCTCACCCTCCTGCCCTCACCCTCCTGCCCTCACCCTCCTGCCCTCACCCTCCTGCCCTCACCCTCCTGCCCTCACCCTCCTGCCCTCACCCTCCTGCCCTCACCCTCCTGCCCTCACCCTCCTGCCCTCACCCTCCTGCCCTCACCCTCCTGCCCTCACCCTCCTGCCCTCACCCTCCTGCCCTCACCCTCCTGCCCTCACCCTCCTGCCCTCACCCTCCTGCCCTCACCCTCCTGCCCTCACCCTCCTGCCCTCACCCTCCTGCCCTCACCCTCCTGCCCTCACCCTCCTGCCCTCACCCTCCTGCCCTCACCCTCCTGCCCTCACCCTCCTGCCCTCACCCTCCTGCCCTCACCCTCCTGCCCTCACCCTCCTGCCCTCACCCTCCTGCCCTCACCCTCCTGCCCTCACCCTCCTGCCCTCACCCTCCTGCCCTCACCCTCCTGCCCTCACCCTCCTGCCCTCACCCTCCTGCCCTCACCCTCCTGCCCTCACCCTCCTGCCCTCACCCTCCTGCCCTCACCCTCCTGCCCTCACCCTCCTGCCCTCACCCTCCTGCCCTCACCCTCCTGCCCTCACCCTCCTGCCCTCACCCTCCTGCCCTCACCCTCCTGCCCTCACCCTCCTGCCCTCACCCTCCTGCCCTCACCCTCCTGCCCTCACCCTCCTGCCCTCACCCTCCTGCCCTCACCCTCCTGCCCTCACCCTCCTGCCCTCACCCTCCTGCCCTCACCCTCCTGCCCTCACCCTCCTGCCCTCACCCTCCTGCCCTCACCCTCCTGCCCTCACCCTCCTGCCCTCACCCTCCTGCCCTCACCCTCCTGCCCTCACCCTCCTGCCCTCACCCTCCTGCCCTCACCCTCCTGCCCTCACCCTCCTGCCCTCACCCTCCTGCCCTCACCCTCCTGCCCTCACCCTCCTGCCCTCACCCTCCTGCCCTCACCCTCCTGCCCTCACCCTCCTGCCCTCACCCTCCTGCCCTCACCCTCCTGCCCTCACCCTCCTGCCCTCACCCTCCTGCCCTCACCCTCCTGCCCTCACCCTCCTGCCCTCACCCTCCTGCCCTCACCCTCCTGCCCTCACCCTCCTGCCCTCACCCTCCTGCCCTCACCCTCCTGCCCTCACCCTCCTGCCCTCACCCTCCTGCCCTCACCCTCCTGCCCTCACCCTCCTGCCCTCACCCTCCTGCCCTCACCCTCCTGCCCTCACCCTCCTGCCCTCACCCTCCTGCCCTCACCCTCCTGCCCTCACCCTCCTGCCCTCACCCTCCTGCCCTCACCCTCCTGCCCTCACCCTCCTGCCCTCACCCTCCTGCCCTCACCCTCCTGCCCTCACCCTCCTGCCCTCACCCTCCTGCCCTCACCCTCCTGCCCTCACCCTCCTGCCCTCACCCTCCTGCCCTCACCCTCCTGCCCTCACCCTCCTGCCCTCACCCTCCTGCCCTCACCCTCCTGCCCTCACCCTCCTGCCCTCACCCTCCTGCCCTCACCCTCCTGCCCTCACCCTCCTGCCCTCACCCTCCTGCCCTCACCCTCCTGCCCTCACCCTCCTGCCCTCACCCTCCTGCCCTCACCCTCCTGCCCTCACCCTCCTGCCCTCACCCTCCTGCCCTCACCCACCTGCCCTCACCCACCTTCACCAGCAGCTCATATCGTGGGATCCTCTGGACCGGCTTGATCATCAGGTCGGACAGAGCCTGCTTCTCCTTGTTCTCCCTCATGCTTTGCTGCAAAACACCCACGGGGGAGAAGGAGAAGGATGGGACCATTATGTGGGCAGGGACCTGCTGTGCCACCAGCCCAGGACCTGGAGCAACACCCATTTGGTGATTCCTTTTTAACACCACCTGGAGCGACTCCGGTTCATCCCAACCTGGTCTCTTTGCAATAAAACCAAGAAGAAGGTGGAGGGAAAAAAAAAAAAAAATCCCCAGTCTGATCATACATGACCAGTTCACTCCCATGAATCCCCAATCTGCCCCATCAGCAGCTTTGTTCTGGACCTTGGCCAACATCTCCAGAGAGGGGAACTAGGACCCACCTCCAGGAACTTCATGAAGGCTGGTCGGGCTTCCTTGGCGATCCTGACGGCGTCCTTGGCATTGAGGAAGTTATCGATGTAGGCAGAGTAGATGTTCACCAGCACATCCTTGGAGAACTGGGAGGGGAAAAGAAAGGGCATAGAGGGAGGTGGAGAAGAGGATAAATCCAGTGTGGACATCCTGGGCAAGCTTGGATGAAGCTGCTCCGAGGGTTAACTGTGGCTCTGGGCTGGTGCAGGGAGGGATCACCCACTGCCCGCCCACCTCGATTTTTCAGCCCTGACATTTCTGCTCCAGAGGCAGAACGGTGGAGCTGCAGAGCCAGCTGGTCACCTCCCAGACAGCAGGCCTGGAGATTGTCTCCTGTTCTCCATCTCAGGCGTGTCTGACCCATCCTTTCATCAGTTCCCTGCTCCAAAACTTCCCCTGCCGGGGCCGTGAGCGCGCGCCCGGGTTCCCTGCAGGGAAACCCACCCCCCTGAGGACCTACCGACTGCACCAGGAGGTCTCCCACTTTCTGCTTCTCGTGCCAGTTCTGCACGCAGTCATGGATCTGCTCCAGAAACTGCTCGTGGTGCTCCAGCAGCTCGGGAATCTGGTCAAAGATCTCGTCCACCAGCGACGGGTCGCACAGCAGCGAGTTCTCCGGCTGCTTCAGCGGCTTCATGTAGCCCTGCAGGGCAGTGGAGGGGTCAGGATCCCCCTGGATTTCTTTTTCCCACAATCCCAGAATGAACTTTTGCAACCCTTGTAGGTATGGGAATCGGTGACATCCTGCAGCAGGGGGTTCCTCTAGTGAAAATCAGGTCGTGGAGGCCATCAGACAGACCAAAGAGTGGTGAGAATCAGCAGGTTTTGTAGCCCAGCATCCCTGGGTCCCATCCCACCCAGTGCAACTCCATGGCAGAGTGGGGAAAGGAGCAGGTCTGCATGAGGAACCCCCAAAGCATGATGTCCTCTGTCCCCAAGCCACGGCCTTGAGATACTCCAAACCTTTGCTGTCGTGACCCTTGGTCACCTCCATCTGCTACAGAGCCTGACCCAGCTGGGGAATCACTGCAGCAGGACCCTGGGATCCAAAGCTGGTGGGTTCCTGGTGGGATTTAGGGTGTTTGTGACCAGGAAGGGCTGGATTGAATGGGGTGGAGGCACTAGGTCAAGCTCTGGACCACCTCATCACCAGCATCTCTTGGGCAATGGCAAACAAGGGATGCTCAGGGTCAGCAGG